TACTTTAGATCAACCTCGATCTACTTATATGTGCATGTAAACACACCGAATGAGTTTTTCCTTCATTCCTATTAAACAGCACAGCTGCCTTTAGCCAGCCAGCCATGTGAAGTGGGATGAGAGTATTGGGGGGGTTGAGTGCGTTTGTATGCAGCAACAGCAGCATGTCTGTTTCTCTGCAGGAGCCCCAGTCTTATCTCCTTAATGGATTATGAGCGGGGAACAAAAACAGAAGGTGGCAGAGTGAGAATGATTGGTCTTCATGCTAAAGGCCGGCAGGAAACGGACTGCTGCCAGATAAAGCACTCTGCTCGTGCCCCCAAATCCCACCGTTTATTATTACAAAGAGGACAATGGGAGCAGCTTGTAGTAAAGAGACATTTAAGTCTGGTCGTGTTTCCACTACTGAGGTAAAACAGATTTTTGTGCAGGAGTTTCTACATTTACAGACTTGTTGGTTTTATTGTCGGAGGCCCAGAACAAATGATGGACATTTGAAGTCGAGACAAACACGGATCCGTTTTGTACCGCTCTATGAAAAGTGCTTTCTTCTTCATGGATGCAGACAAAATGTGTGTGCAGGATTATTTAGTGCTTCTTTTGTTGTTGTCTTCTTCAGACCGACGCATATCGGAACACAAGTAGTTTCTGATATTTGTCCGTGTCTGGGAGTGCCAAGACGTTTGATGTGTGAGCTTGTATTGATCAGGAAGAGGCAGGTTGAATAGAAAAGATGAAACCCTTACAGCCTTCTTGTTAGAGACATAATCTGTTTATTTCCTGTGCTGCCTGGGGATCCAACAGCAGTGCACACTGCTTTAGGCTATGGTGTTTAATGTCTTCTCTCTTACATGCCCGTCTTCCCTACACAACACAACCCGTCTGCTTCACCAACACTGCCAGTTAAGCTGTTGTGTGGACTTTTCAGAGCTGTTTTCTTGTGAGCTTCGATGCCTTTGTGGTTGTACATCGTGTGAAAATCTCCAGTGCTGTGCTCGTCTCTGTGAAGTAAGTTAGAGAGGTTCCTTACACGCATCTCCACTCATGTTAAAGACTGAAGTTTCAAAGTTAATCGGTGGTCAGAGGTTTACATTCACTCCCCTTTAGCATGGACAATCATTCATTTTAGGCTTTTATTGATGACTTTGAACGGTTCTTTTTCCAGAATGAAATAATAACAAAACAAACTACTTTAAACAAACGGTGCAGGGTACCAAACTTCATGGATTCTTCGTTAATGTTAGCTAATTTATTAAAGACCCCCGCTGCTCCACCCTGACGTCCCATCCTGACATTGTCTCTGGGTTAGATTTCATGCTACAGTGTAAGTGAGGAATGCCGTGACTGGGATGGTTAATATCTTTTACCAGTTATTAGTCCATTTTAAAAGAACTGTCAACAAATCATTTAATAACTCATAAAGAATTAAAAAAGCCGGTCTAATCACAAGACGGCACCAACATCTATAGTAATGCATGAAGATGTAAATACATGTCTGACCCTGTTTTGGACAAACATCAGTGAAGCGGTATAACTATCCCAACCCGGAAAAAGAATAGTTCACAAGCCAAAAGTGATCTTCGTGCTCCAGATGAGCGGATGTAAACCTTTCCTTTGATCAGGGCTATTGAACCCTGGTCCTGGGGCATTTCCCTGCATGTTTTAGCTGTTACCCTGCTCCAAAACAGCATCTTCAGCAGGTCCTTCAGATCTTCAGAAACCCGTCAATCACCCATTGATTCTAACCATGAGTATTGGAGCAGGGCAACATAGAAAACATGCTTGTAATGGCCCTCCAGGCTAAGGGTTCAGCTGTTTAGCAGGAACTGTATCATGCAACGTTTACACCTCCCAGCACAACAATAGGCACATGTCGTTTTCCCCAGAATATAGGTTATGCTTGTGAGACATTCCTTTAACTCGGTGACACGAGGCTGATGACATTCTGTCTCTGCAGAGACTCGTACAGGGTTCATGTCAAGATCCTGGCTTTTAGGGACTTACACGAACAAGACCCTCATGGTGATCTTCTCAGTCCCTGCATCCACAGCAGGTCCCTGAGGTCTACAGCAGGACGTGGTCAAAAGCGCCGTTATTTATGCTGGTTACATATCTTTTTCATGACGATACATTTTGAGAGACAAAAATTTAATGCAAACAAAAATTTCTTCCACAAAATTTTAAATCTGACTAAAACTGACGGACAGCTCAACTCTCTGACGGCACAAACTGTTGCAGAGTTGCGGTCATCCAGAGTAAACCTGTAAAATGTGCATGCTCTCTGTTTTTGTGAGAAAAATATTCAGGTGGCTCAGAAAAAACACCTTGGTAAAAAAATGCAGGAAAACTCTTTAGAATACAATTTCATTTTCATTCTTGCATTAGAGTTGTACTGTAGCTTGTTTGATGGTATGATGTCATTTCCTGCCACTGGGCGTCATGGGCCGGTGTCTTGGCTGCTGCCGTGGATCTGTTGCTGCCAGGGCAGATGGCTCCGCTGATGATGTGTCGTTCATTACCTGACCCATCT